ACAACCCCCCCCCCCCTCACCACCTAGAGTACAGACACCCATCGTAACTCACTCCCCCCTCCCCCCCTTCTCATTTGCTGTATCACAAAGGATATACAACTTGGGGAGGGGGTGGTACAGGTAGGGGGAGGGGAAGGGGTGATACAGGTAGGGAGTGGGGAATGATAGGGGGAGGGGGTGGAGAGGTGTAGAGTAGTAGTAGTAACAGGTACACCACACCGTGACCTGACCTCTCACCCTAGTCTCGACCTCACTTCCGGTCCAGTCACATTACCCCTCCCAAGGTCACCACCACACGGGTCAGCTCCGCCACCCTCCTCAGCATACACTAAATTATCCCTTTGTTCACTCTCTCTCTCTCTCTCTCTAAGCATTTCCATATACCAGTTCCTCAATTTTCTTTATTCTTTTCCTTCTGTTATTATAATGTTCATCGTTATTTCCAACTCACTTTCTCTTCGTTCTTCCCCTATTTATTTCACCGATTCTATTCCTCCCGTTTCATTTTCTTGTTCACCTTAATATTAACACTAAATAATATCAAGGTACCTATTAATTTCATGAATCCATTTATTTTTTTACTCCTTCACAAACCTGCACAACACCTTTCTTTCACCTACAACACTGTGAACCGGGTATATCTTGTGTCAAAAATATTATTACCCCAGTTTTAGTTACTTTCCAAGTCAGACACGTCACCCACGACGCGAGATACGTTTTATTGACATCCGTGGTTGCTGGGAGTCGGAGGCGTGACAATATTCCCCAGCACCAATCAGAATTACCATCCAATTTGCGTCTGGTACTCCCCCCCTCTACTTTCCCTACTTAAAAAAATCCAAATTACTTTTCCCCATATTTTTCATAATATTTTTTTAAAGAATTATAAATTATTACATTATTAGATACCTTTTATAATAGTGTGGAGTACTTTAAGGTGACCCCATGAATACGTTTTACTCCGTCGGTTCAGAACAGTTTATAAGCTACCATACACAGTTCTCTCATCATCATAACAAAAGCTGCCTCTGTCCACCTGATACTAAACTGATACACCTGATACTAGATTGACTGGTCCACCTGATACTAGATTGACTGGTCCACCTGATACTAGATTGACTGGTCCACCTGATACTAGATTGACTGGTCCACCTGATACTAGGACAGCCATTAAAGCCGCCAGTACAGTTCTTTTAAAAGTGTAATTTCAACAACCTATCAAAACATTTATTACCTTCTTCGTGTAATTGATGTGTAAAGCAGATTAAAAACAATTTCTATTCTCTACTATTAAATCTTAAGAAAAGATAATCTAAATGGTGTCAAGACGTACCAATCCGTGCCACCACAACCGCAGGTAGGGAGGAGAAAAGTGTGTGTGTGTGTGTGGTGTGTGTGGGTGTGTGTGGTGTGTGTGTGTGTGTGTGTGTCGCCCATCACCACCCAACACACAGGAGGGAAACTTGACAAGGTTACCGTGATAACTGCCTCCTGATACCGCCTCACTCACACGCCTAAGCTGACACTGCCTGATACTACACTGGCTGACATCTCCTGACACAACACTGGCTGACATCTCCTGACACAACACTGGCTGACACTCCTTTATAATCAGCCTATATTCGCTTCACAACACCACATGTTTGATTTATTACCATAACAATGAACCTCCGTCAGCATTCCTCTGCTTGGCTCGAACACACACACACACACACACACACACACACACACACTTCTCATTTTTTCGGAATATAACATCAAATTATTCCTCCTCATTCCCCTTTCTCTCACCACCACCCTTCCCTATCCTAACCTAACCATCCCCCTAACCTAACCTAACCAACACCCCCTCCCTAACCTAACACTATCAGAGAGGTCGCGACAACTACCACAACAACAACCCTTAATCTACAACCATCAACAGGTGAGAAAAACAACAAAACAGAGAAAAAAGAGGAAAAGTAGGAAAAAAAAAGAATAAAACACACAAACAGCTTTCACACCACACCCCTAGCCACACCATACACCCCCTCAGTCACATCTTAGCACACCCCCACCACACTTGTAGTACACACACACACACATCCCCTACCACGACCCCCTACCACAACACAGCACAGCCTACCCTACACCACAGTCACACAATATCTAGTCACCCCTCCACCACACCATACTCCACACCCTCCCTAGTCACCGGAAACCTAGTGGGAAAATAGTAGGACTTTCCCTGTGTGTGTGTCCGGGCGGCTTAACCGTGGGCTGAGTTTTTGTTCCTCAAGGGGGCGACACACCCACCCACCCAGCCAACCACACACTTACGCAACCGCACACATATAATCACTTACCCACACCATCCACCCACACACACCCTTCTACCCATTAATCCACACACACACACCCCCTTCTAAATCCACACCCACATATCCACATCCACACGAATGCAGAAGTTTGAGCCAATGAGGGTCGTGTAAGGTATTCGTATATGCGGCGACGGCTCAGGTAACAAATATTATCAACTCCCAAACTTAACTTACAGACACAGAGTATATCCCTAGCTGTCAAGATAAGATAACGTAACCTAGCTATCAAGATAAGATAACCTTACCTAACACCACCTTAACACCTCCCTAAATACCAAGATAAGATAACCTAACACTACCTTAACACCTCCCTAACTACCAAAATTAGATAAGATAACCTAACCTAACCTCACCTCCAGGCAGTGTTTATGCGTTTTACCATCAGGTGAAATAAGATGGGGGGGGGGGGCTGGGGGCTATTAATCAGATGGTCGGCATAGACAGCAACATAAGTAAATTTGCTGATGACACTAAAATAGGACGAGTTATTAAATCTGACGAGGACTCAGCAAAACTACAGGAAGATCTAAACAAATTTTTCGAATGGTCTGAAAAATGGCAGATGAAATTCAACGTGGACAAATGTAAAGTACTCAGTATAGGAGATGTAAACAGGGAAACCAGATACCAGATGAACAACGATGCCATAGAGAAATCCGACTGCGAGAGAGATTTAGGAGTAATGATAAGTAGGAACCTTAAGCCAAGTAAACAATGTGTTTTTGCTCGTAACAAGGCTAATAAAGTACTTGGGTTCATACAAAGGAGTGTTAGTTACAAGACTAGCGAGGTCATCCTAAAACTGTATCTTGCTCTTGTGAGACCACACCTGGATTACGCAGTTCAGTTCTGGTCACCGTATTACAGAATGGATATAGAATCCTTGGAAAGAACTCAGAGGAGAATGACCAAGACTATTCCCGGGCATTAGGAACCTTGAGTAGAGACAGGTTAAAGATCTTAATTTGCACTCCTCGAGAAACGTAGAGCGAGGGGCGACCTGATAGAGGTGTGGAAGTGGAAGTCAGGGCTAAACAAAGGACATTACAAAGGTACTCAAACTATCCAACCAGGAGCGAACTCGTAACAATGGTTTTAAATTAGACAAATTTAGATTTAGGCGTGAAATAGGTAAACACTGGTTTGGAAACAGAGTAGTGGATGAATGGAACAAGTTACCAAATATCATCATTAACTCGAATACGCTGAATAGCTTCAAACATAGGTTGGATGCTTATATGAGCGATAGGGGTTGGGTGTAAACGGGACTGACCAGTATGGGCCAACAGGCCCGCTGCAGTTTCCTCCATTCTTATGTTCTTAAGGATGTTGGGTGGGGCTGGGTGAGGTTGGGTGGGACTGGGTGGGGCTGGATGAGGTTGGGTGTGGCTGAGCGTGCGTCATCAACTGCAGTTTAGAGGTAACAATGTAATCACCCCATTAGCGTGACCCTCGTGGCCCTGGGCTGCACTAACACCCCTCCATTACCCACACTTGTATCTAATTCCCAGTGACCTCCACCACACCCAAGAGGCCAACTAATGTATGATAAAAAAAAGGACGTTTAATCTACCTCTACCTCCAACCCCCTTTCATATCCACCAACACCCCCTCTACCTCCTAGTAACAGAACGTAAGAGTCAGTGTACAGGGGGGGGTCCTAGTAGCATAACCTACAGTAGGGGCAGGTCCTAGTGATGAGGATATCCCATGAGGCAGGATTCCTGAGCGAGAAGTGAAGAGCAGGGTGGCAGGTGGGGGCTAGTGAGAGAAGGATGGCAGGGTGACATGCGAGGGCTAGTGAGGGCAGGCGAGGGCTAGTGAGGGCAGGATGGCAGGTTGACATGCGAGGGCTAGTGAGGGCAGGATGGCAGGCGAGGGCTAGTGAGGGCAGGATGGCAGGCGAGGGCTAGTGAGGGCAGGGTGGCAGGCGAGGGCTAGTGAGGGCAGTGGACCACAACACGGTAGGGAGGAGAACAATGAAGGGAGGACCTCTTGCCCTCTCCTACTGGTCTCCCATGAGGCGGTACGGAGACCATCCCTTCCTCCTTGAGTCTCCTCTTCACCCGTTATGTGCGAGAGAGAGAGAGAGAGAGAGAGAGAGAGAGAGAGAGAGTGTGTGTGTAAGGTAAAGGCATAAACACGTGCTAATAACCGGGTATAAATAACAGAATATGATAATTAAGAAACAGAGGAATAAGGCATAAGATACACCTGTAATTGGCAAGGAAATAGTTCGTAATAATTGGGAAAGGAACAAAAATATCCAATAAATAGATGAAACAAGAAATAGTGAGAAAGCAAATGATAAGTAGAAACCGGATAAGAAACGGACAAAAACACGTATCTGGTAATTAGGAATAAGGAATAAATATAATTGGAAAGATATAACAATTGACAATAGAGAATAGACAGTAACTGGGAACACGCAGAAGACATAATAATTAAAACATAAGAACAGACAAAGTATAAAATCAGATAATTAGGCATAACAAAGGAACGACAACAAACAGAAGGAAAAGAAATGGGAAAGACGTGATAATTATTGACCCCGAAAAACTACACGTGTACACAAACAATCACCCATAAAAATAAATACTCACTCACACGCAGGTAAACACTCACAGTCAAGACACTTACCGTTCTTAAGTTTGTTCTCCTCGGCCGCCTGCCCGTTGGGGAAGATGGTCTTGACGAAGATCCCCATACTGCCCTTTGGTGAGTCCCGTCCTCCCACGATAGAGAACCCGAGGGACTTCCTACCTCGCCCCTTCTCGAACGCCACCGTCTGTACGGACATGGAGAGGCTCTTGGGGCGACGTGGCAGTGTCGAACTCAGTCCCCGGGGTTCTGTTCTGGAGGGGGAGGGAAGTTTGATGGACCCCGGCGGGCAGGATAATCTTTGGAAGACAGGCGGGTACTGTCTGCTGCTACTGCTGCTGCTGCTACTCCGGGGGGACTTCCTGACGGGCGTGGTGGGCGTCGACTGCGTCTCTATCAACACCTGTTTCTGGGGCGTCGCCTGAAGCCTCGGGATCAAGCTAAGGTGTTTGGCTTCCCGCTCGTGAGAATCTTCAGGTTCTACATGTATGAGTTTCGACTTGTAGATGTCACTGAGGAAGGCTTTATCGCCACACAGTCTCACGTCACTCGCTGAGGAATATCTCACATCGTTCGAGTTTCTAACATCATGGGAGGAGGAATATCTGGCTTCGCCGTTCACGTAGCGAGGCAGGTTACACTTTCTGGACATGTACACGTCGTAGTAGTCAGCGCGGGGGTGACGTGAGGAGGTGACGGGTGTGGCGGTGGTGGCAGGCGTCGACGGTAAGGACGTTGGGAGGTTGGATGGTAGAGATGCCGGGCTCTCAGGCATGGGGACGGTGACGGACACAGAGCCAGATACAGACACCGTGGCTCGTGAGGGATCATAACCCGGCAGGTAAGACTCCAGGGGCGCCAGGGTGGTGTAGTCCGCATAATCATCATAATCGGAGTAAGAACCTCTCCGGCGGGGGAGGCTTCGGTCTGTGTATCCGTCTAGGTGTTCTCGCCTCACTCCAAGAACCTCTTCGGCGGTCAGGAGCTCACTCCTGAAGGCTCTGCCGGAGGCGTAGAGCTCACCACACGCTTCACTCAGCCTCTGGGCAGCCTCCACCTCGGCAGTCTTTTCATCCTGGGTGGGGTAGGAGGCGTTGTATTCCTGGTGGTGGTGCACATCCACCTCCCTGGCGATGACAATGTCCACCTCCTTGGGTGTACTGCGCAGGATGTGTCGCGCCTCGTCCAGCGTCACCCCGCGGAGCCGCCGACCGTTCACGTTGATAATCTCGTCACCCACACGGAAGCGGCCGTCTCTGTCGGGGACACAAAACACTATTATTACCACCACATACAGCACATTACAGTATCTGTCTAACCAATAATCATCCTTTACTATATATTCATCACAACACAACTGACTGCCAACACGTATGTATTGAAATCCACCCAGAAAGTCTAAGACGAAATTGTGTAAACGTTTGGCTTTAAATATCTTGACACAGCTATTGGCGAATGTGGTGTACTGGAGAACTACCTGGAAGGGGACGGAGGGTGGAGGGTGGGGTGAACTGTGTAAGATACCCTAATCTTATGGTGAAATAAGCAAGAGGTCACCAGTACACACGTCATTTCCGGCAACTGTTTCTATGGGCAGGTGATGCCATCAACGCGGTGACCAGCTGTGTATACAAGGTGGGCGTGATGGCTACCGCTCACACCGAGACCACTAGTCCACCGCTACCATATGTAACTTACCCAAGCTATTAACTTATGACTGATACTCGAGATAATAGTTGTTTCAGAGTCCTTCACTTCCCAAACCTCCAGTACTGAATAACTTCCTTGTTGTCGAAATCTAAGTCATTGTTAACAATAAACATGATTATCATTTGATTAGGGCAGGTTAGGTTAGCATTACAGTGGTTAATCTTTAGGTGAAATAAGCTGGGGTGCCTAACGTTCATGTGACTCAGCCATCTTCACTATTAAACCCCCTTATAAATAAATAATAATAATGTATAACCCGTTTAGATAACTTCAGTCACCCAAGAAGGCAGACGGTGGGTTCTGTCTGCGGGCGACACGATCTGAATGCCAAAACTCTAGGTGAGAGACACCCCGAAGGCCTCGTATTAATGAAGGCGTCCCTCCCTCAGGCGCCGCGGCCACCTCCTCACCCACCCACCACCCGGTCAACACCACCCATCCACCCACCACCTGGCCAACACCACCACCACCCACCCACCACCACTCACACCGCGCTCAATGGTGTCAGTTCCCTCGTTACTAAAACACTATACAAAGGTAAAAGATTTGTTGGGCTCTAAGATATTGAGCTGCCTTCTTGTTTATCACTGTTTGTATACTGTACCTGCACCGTCTAGGTATGTTGTTTACCTATACTATGCACACTGTGTACCTGCATTTTCTATGTAAATAATGAACTCGCTTGAAGATTTTAATGAATAAATATCCATCAATCTAACTGAATAAGGAGTATCCAGATATGTAAATACCGCTTAGTTAAAAAGATAAGTGCGTCTTGTAGTTGTTTACATACAAGGCTAACTAACTTACAGGTACAGCTAAACTGAACCACGTGTGTGTGTGTGTGTGTGTGTGTGTGTGTGTGTGTGTGTGTGTGCAGTACGTGACCAATCCAACCAAACCCAACCTAAGCCAACCAAATCTAAACCAACCACACGTAACCTAACCCAACCCCGAGATGCATCAACCAACTATCTCGCAAGGCTCAGCAGAAGTTTCCACGCCAGGAGACGCCCGTAGGCTACAGTGGCACACGTACATGTGTGTGTGTGTGTACAGTCAACCACCTCTCAAGGCCGGCCTGTGGTTGGTCTGCCCAGCTGCCTTGCCCCGTGGTGCCCCTTTATCGACACGCCAAGGTGGGCGGGCATACAGGGGGGGAGAAAGGTGAGGCCAGGGGAAGGATGGTGAGGGCCAGGAGGGGAAGGATGGTGAGGGCCAGGAGGGAAGGATGGGGAGGGCCAGGGGGGTAAGGAAGGTGAGGGCCAGGGGAAGACGGTGATGGCCAGGAGGGGAAGGATGGTGAGGGCCAGGGGGGTAGGATGGTGAGGGCCAGGGGGAAGGATGGTGAGGGCCAGGGGAGGTGGTGAGGGACGGGGAAGGATGGTGAGGGGCCAGGAAAAGGAGAGGGCCAGGGGCATGCGCAGATGGGGGGCCAGGGCAGGCGCAGATGAGGCCAGGGGGGCAGGCACAGGTGAGGGGCCAGGGGCAGGCACAGGTGGGGCCAGGGCAGGCATGTGAGGGGGCCAGGGGGAGGAAAGTGAGGGCCAGGGGGTAGGACGCATGAGGGCCAAGGAGTAGGATATGTGAGGGCCAGGGGCGGGACAGGTGAGGGCCAGGGGGTAGGGTCCAGGTGATCGGTCTCAAGGCCGCTGCTCGCGCCATCCTGGAGCCTGGCCGACCCCACCTCCGCTACTGTTGCTGCTACTTTTGTTATTGTTGCTGCTGCTGTTGTTGTTGCTATTACCTGTTACTGTTTTTGTTATTGTTGTTGCTGCTACTGTTATTGTAGCTGTTACTTTTCTTATTCTTGTCGCTGCTGTTGTCATTACGGCCTCACATACTACTGGCACTGTTACTCTACAGCTGCCGTTACTGGTGTCAACTGTTACCTGCCTACACCAACTGTTGTCACTTTTCTGTCAGGTCACACATGGAGACTCAGCAGGTATTTTCGGCATCATTTGTCTTGCTGGTTCAGTTAACAGCACCGCCGCCTCAGCTGATGACGTCGACGCTGCAGGTGTTCAGACCCCCGCCGCCACGATGATACTCCAAGCAGGTAATAACCCATACCCACCTCCCCCTCCCCATGACGCCTGCTGCTGAACCTACGGCCTTCCTCCCTCACTCCTCTCCTTATTACGCCTGCTTCTGCTGAACTTACTTCTACTTCCCTCACGTCCCTGCTGTGTAAAAGCTGCTGAATCTCCCCCTGCTTGCTGTTGCTGGGGGCGAGGATACATTAGCAGGTGCGGCCACCACCACTACTGCTGCTGCTGCTGTCCCGTCGTGTGCTGCAGCTGTGACCAATACCTAGATTCCTCCCGCTCGCCAGGTGAACTCATTACCTGCCGGGTGAACTCATTACCGGCCGGGTGAACTCATTACTGGCCGGGTGAACTCATTACTGGCCGGGTGAACTCATTACCGGCCGGGTGAACTCATTACCGGCCAGGTAGACATTACCGGCCAGGTGAACTCATTACCGGGCACAGGTGAACTCATTACTGGCCGGGTGAACTCATTACCGGGTGAACTCATTACTACCGGCCGGGTGAACTCATTACCGGCCGGGTGAGAACTACCGGCCGGGTGAACTCATTACCGGGCACAGGTGAACTCATTACTGGCCGGGTGACTGTTACTTCATTACCGGCCGGGTGAACTCATTACCGGCCGGGTGAACTCATTACCGGCCGGGTGAACTCATTACCGGCCGGTGAACTCATTACCGGCCGGGTGAACTCATTACCGGCCGGGTGAACTCCGGGTGAACTTACTGGCCACTCATTACTGGTAAACTCGGCACTGGCCGGGTGAACTGAACTTGGCACTGGCCGGGTGAGCTCAGCACTGGCCGCTGAGCTCAGCACTGGCTGGGTGACTCAGCACTGGCCGGGTGAGCTCAGCACTGGCCGGGTGAGCTCAGCACTGGCCGGGTGAGCTCAGCATTGGCCGGGTGAGCTCAGCATTGGCCGGGTGAGCTCAGCACTGGCCGGGTGAACTCAGCAATAATTACTCCCATCACCAGTTATTTCTAAGTCGTTATAACTTACGGAGCCCCTGCAGGCAGGGAGCACACACTGTCAGCAGCACCAGAGGCAGTGTGTGTGTGTGTAGGTATGTATGTATGCATGTATGTATGTGTGTGTGTGTGTGTGTGTGTGTGTGTGTGTGTGTGTGTGTATGTATGTGTGTGTGTATGTGTGTGTGTGTATCTATGTGTGTGTGTATCTGTGTGTGTGTGTGTATCTGTGTGTGTGTGTGTATCTGTGTGTGTGTGTATCTGTGTGTGTATTTGCGTGTATTGTGTATGTGTGGGCGTGTTTTTCAGCAGCTAACTCTGCCCCTCCTTACAGTATGAGTCGTCCTCTTAAGACTCTCACTTGACGTAACTCATAAACATGAGCCACTACCGCTCATTCACTCCAACATAAACAATAAGACCATAACGCAACAACCTGCCGCCCTCCACAATTAAGACAACCTGCAAACAATGGCTCAGTAACCTGGCCCGCCCCCTGTACAGGCGGCCCCATAACGCCTGCTGTAGGGACGAGGGGACCATGATGTACCACCCTGCCCCGTACTCACTAACAAGTATTAATTCACCACACAAGAGAAAGTTCAGGTCACGACTTGTCAAGGAGTCTCGTTAACGACACACATTACCCTAAACTGTAAGGTAGGAGAGCACTGTACTGTACCACAAGGGAGACACCACAAATAATGATGGTGATAATGAAGAAACAAAACCTAAACGATGTTATGTACTGTACCATGGCAAGCTTACCTGTCTGTGAGGCCGTTCTTCTCGATGTGGGCGATGACGTAGCCGGTGGTGGCGCCGCGGGAGTTCCTGCGGGCGGTGATATAGATGCCCAGTTCCCCAGTGTGGTCTTTCACCAGCCGCATCAACCTGAAGGTGCGAGGGGTGGGGGAGTGAGCCAAGGATACCGGCAGGGAGAGTGGTGCTGACGAGTACGTCTCCGGCAGTGGTCGGGTGAGTGAGGCAACCCTCAAGTGTCCCCTCAGGGGCGTGCTGCCCTCCCACCAGGGGCAGCGACTCTCACCGTCCTCCCCCGCCTCCCGGAACACGCTGAGGGCGCCTCGTAGTGGACTTAAAGGTGAGGTGCGCCGCTCCAGTTGTGATGCGAGGAACCTCTGACGGCGGCTGATTAGATCCTGGGGGTCAGACAGTCGCCGCGGGCCCCGGGGCCTCCCTGGCACCAGCTTCTCCTCGTCCGTCAGGTTGTAGACAAGCGGGGAGGACTGAGGTACATTCTGCTGGCGGCTATACCGGGACGCCCTGCACCCGTCGGTGTAGTCCTCGCTGTAGCTGGGCGTCGCTGTGCTCGCCTGACCATAGTCACACGTCTTGCTCCTCGACTCCGCTTTTGGCAAGTCACCCAGCTTGGCGTATTCGGGTTTGACGTAATTATCGAGTTTAGGATAATTATCAGGTTTAGAATAATGATCGAGATTAGGATAATTATCAGGTTTGGTGTAGTTATGAACATTAGGATAATTATCAGGTTTAACATATTTCTCTAATCTGGCATAATTATCCAGTTTAGCGTAGTGGTCATAGGCGGGATGGTCGGCGCCTGTGAGGGAGCCGGAGTCAGAGTTGGTCTCTGAGTGACTCTCAGTACTCACGCCGGAGTCAGCGTCACTCTCGGTCTTCTTCGCCCGAGCTTTTGGGGACTCGTGTCGTGCCCCGCCTCCGTCACTCTCGTAGCCGCTCTCGTTACTACTGAGGTATACGGCCGCCGACCTGTGCTCGCTGCGGCTCCTGTATCTGTGGGGGCGCTGCGGGAGACACGACCGCTTTTCCTCTTTCTGCACGGGGGAAAAGAGGATGTCGGGTTCCGTGATGGCCGTGGCGGAGAATGAGCGAGTTCGAGGCTGTAGTGGTGCTGGGATCGGGTGGAGGCGCAGCTTGAGGCCACTCATCCCTCGGTGGGCAGGGTTAATGGCGCAGTTTTCTTCAGATACCGCTCGTAATTTTTGTCGTATCAATTCTTTCGTGTCTTCGTCACACACAGAATCCCGTAACGTTGTCATCCGTCGGTTGGGTGGACGAATCGGGGTGTCGGCGGGGGTCTGGGTGGTGGGGGGCTCCTGGGGCTGGTTCTGGGGGGTGGCTGGAGGGCGAGAGCGTAAAAAGGCGTGAGGGAAGGAGGCTCTGGCGCCCCCCAATGAGGAGATGTTTTCACAGCTGACGGTCTTGGTGGGGAGGTAGGTGGTGGTGGGGGTGGTGGTAGTGGTGGTGTGGGTGGGCGTGGTGCGGGTCAGGTCCACACCAGCTGCGGGGTCCTCAGCCGCCAGGTACGTGCCCAGCTGTGACGCAGAACACGAGCGGTACAGGTGGCGGCCCTCAGCGCTCCGACTCTCTGGTGAAGGTGTCCCTGGCACCGACCTTCCGCCCCATGATAACCCCGGCAGCGGTGTTGACGGCGACGTGGTCGTTGAGGTCACAGATCTTCACAAAGAAAAATTATTATTATTGTAACACTTATGATTATAACACCCACGCTTAAACCTACATCATTACTCTGCCTCCAACATCTGGTGTTATGATAGCTGATGAAACACACACACACAAACAATGAAGGATATTTAGTGCTTACTCACAACATACTGAACTAATGCACTTTGTTCATACGTTAGTTATCATCCCAAGTTGCGTCATTCAGTTCTCTTTACAGTGTTAATAATTGACACTCACACCACAACAGTTACTGGAGGCTCTAGAAATACTCCACGAAACAACTAACATAAATAAAACAAATAATGGCGTCTTTGAGGCTCGTGGCCTTGATAATGGTTTGTCTATTATGAATTTTCACTGAATCTGTTTTAATAAAGACTTAATGTGGTGTGTGATGAAGGAAAACCCGACTTGTGGGACTTCCTCGCCTCAGAGAACCAATAAAATACCACAAAACTCTATTCAATTTCAGCAGAAGCAAACTACTGTTCTTACAGACGCTCAAGTAGGACGGCAGCTGTAAGCAGTTCGTTCCTGCTAATCCTTCAATGATGGTGGTGTTATTTGGCCTCAATGTCGGGTTTACCTTCATGAATTCAAACAAACCAATGTCAAGGGAACAAGTGTAAGACACCTTCATCCCCAGTGGAGGGGGACATACTAAACCTGGTGGAGAGGGGTCTTACCTGGTGGAGGGGGGTCTTACCTGGTGGAGGGTCTTACCTGGTGGTGGGGGTCTTACCTGGTGGTGAAGTCTTTACCTGCCGTGAGGTAGGAGGCTGGAGGGTGGGGTAGGGGGTCTTGCTTACCTGAGGTGGGAGAGAGGGGTCACCCCACCTGAGGTGAGGTGGGGGTCTCCCACCTGGGGTGGAGGGTCTTACCTGGTGGTAGGGGGTCTTCACCTGGTAGGTGGGGGGTCTTACCTGAGTGGTGGGGGTCTTACACCTGGGGTGGGAGGGTCTTACCTGGTGGAGAAGTCTTACCTGGTGGAGGGGTCCTTACCTGGTGGAGGGGTCTTACCTGGTGGAGGGGGTCTTACAATTGGAGGGGTCTTACCTGGTGGAGCTGGAGGGTGGTGGTGGGGGTCTTACCTGGTAGAGCTGGACCTGGAGGGTGGGGTGGTGGTGGGGGGTCTTACCTGGTAGAGCTGGACCTGGAGGGTGGTGGTGGGGGTCTTACCTGGTAGAGCTCGACCTGGAGAACCTGCCGGAGTTGACCTTCTCTTTGCTGGAGGAGCGAGTCAACTGCTCCAGCTTCTTGCCTACACGCCGCCCCCACGTGGCCAGACCTGACATACAGAGACACGAGGTGAAATGAACATCTTTTCACCTGGACGGTGATAATGATGGCACTGATGGTGGTGAATGTGATGAAGACAATGGAATATGATGATGATGATGATGATGATGATGACGACGACGACGACGATGGTGGTGGTGATGATGATGGTGATTATAACAAGAACCAATAATTTCCCTGTTTACAATTAACTAAAATAAACAAACATTAACCAATACATAATTGACCTAACAATCACTGCCATTAAGTGTGACCATTATCTACCTGGTGCTTAATGACTGCTGTAGACGATTGAACTACCACAACACACAGGTATACTACGTGTTGACCTTAATTGTTGGTTTACTTGTGGTGTATCAGAGGAATATAACCCTAACATAATGTACACACAATTAGCAGCGTGGGAAAGGTGTATAATAGTCAGTCTGGCGCGCGCACACACACACGTATTCGAGTTATGTATAAATCAAATGGTAGTCTGTATATTTTCAGCCACCGGCTGCAACTCTATTAATAAACCGTTTATTATTATTATTATTATTATTATTATTTACACACACACACACACACACACACACACACACACACACACACAAAGGGTTCCGAGGTTGAATAACGATGAAAATTCCCAGACAACAACAGGTGAGCACAGGTGTATCCGGAGCTAGAAGGTGACAGGTGTACAGGAAGGGGGTTGGTCAGGTAAGGGAGGGGGAGGCCAGGTGAGGGAGGGGGAGGCCAGGTGAGGGAGGGGGAGGCCAGGTGAGGGAGGGGGAGGCCAGGTGAGGGGGAGGGAAGGGGGTTAATGAAGGACACACATGTTCTTATGTGTACATCTCTGACCTCACTCAATGACCTCATCGCAAGGACATCATCATCAGGTTGACCTCTGAACACAACTACGCATCCTCTCTCTCTACAGAACATAAGAATGGAGGAAACTGCAGCGGGCCTATTGGCCCATACTGGGCAGTCCCGTTTACACCCAACCCCTATTGCTCATATAAGTATCCAACCTATGTTTGAAGCTATCCAGCGTATTCGAGTTAATGATTATATTTGGTAACTTGTTCCATTCATCCACTTCTCTATTTCCAAACCAATGTTTACCTATTTCACGCCTAAATCTATTTGTTTCTAATTTAAAACCATTTCCACTAGTTCGCTCGTTTAGCCCTGACTTCCATTTACACACCTCAATCATATCGCCCCTCACTTTACATTACAAAGGTACTCAAACTATCCAACCAGGAGTGAACTCGTAACAATGGTTTTAAATTAGACAAATTTAGATTTAGGCGCGAAATAGGTAAACACTGGTTTGGAAACAGAGTAGTGAACGAGTGGAACAAGTTACCAAATATAATCATTAACTCGAATACGCTGAATAGCTTCAAACATAGGTTGGATGCTTATATGAGCAATAGGGGTTGGGTGTAAACGGGACTGCCCAGTATGGGCCAATAGGCCCGCTGCAGTTTCCTCCATTCTTATGTTATCTCTCGAGGGAGTGCAAATTAAGATGCTTTAACCTGTCTCTGTACTCACGGTTCCTAATGCCCGGGATTAGTCTTGTCATCCTCCCCTGAATGCAAATTCTAGGGATTCTATAACCATTCTGTAATACGGTGACCAGAACTGAACCGCGTAATCCAAGTGAGGTCTCACAAGGATATAGTTTATTACACACTGTCATTCTATTAAATATTACATGCACGTTACTTTGTTTCATATCTCTTTAAAAACAAGCCTAATTTAAACTAACCTAACCCAATAAAACCTCATGCTGATGTTACCCAATATAACCTAACCTAACCAAACTTAGGGAAAACAACCAAATTTAACCTAACCAAAAGATAACATAACCTAACCATACTTAACAATAACTTAACCCAGATAATGTCCGTGTGTTCAACCATGTAAAAACAATCTCTAGTGTGACCCGACACACACAAGAGTCGTCAAAGGTAATACAGTATGAACAGTCACAGCGCAGGGAGTCACATTCTTTACTCCGTTGGGTTGGGTTGGGTTGGGTTGGGTCAGGTCACGTCAGGTCACGTCAGGTCAGGCTAGGTTTATTACTGATGTTAGTTAGGTTTTACTTATTACTGTCGTTAGTGGTAGGGTGTGGTATATTTTGTGGCAGTCTATCAGAGGGGAGTTAGGCCTATGTAATTTCCGTCAGGGGGAGAGTGAGGCGTGGCGAGAGAGAGAGAGAGAGAGTGAGCTGTGGCGAGGAGAAAGGAGAACATTACACCCCTGCAAAATTACCTCCACTGGATACATTAGGCTATGACCACACACACACCACCTGTTTGGTGGCTCTTGCTTACAAACTGGTTCATGTTTTCGCAATAATCAATTAAACAAATAAAATTAATTACCTGCTGACCTCCCCAGCTTATTTCACTACTCTCTATATCCTCACTGGGCTGTTGTTGACAATTCAGTAGAGCATTTTGCTTTACTTTAGTTTATTCTCTTCGATACTGATGGACACAGCTAAAGCCATAGACGGTCGACCATGTCTGTTTCGCTACTGTGGTGAGTACTGGACAGTGTCCAACTCTCACTTGATCAACACAATAACCACAAGCTCTTACAATACCTTTCTTGGCCATCTTTGGGGTGGTAGTGGTGGAGTCGCTGGTGATAGATGGCGTGTTACTGGTGGTGGTAGATGGCGTGTTACTGGTGGTGGTAGATGGCGTGTTACTGGTGGTAGATGGCGGCAGGTCTAGCACCCTGGCAGGCACGGCCGTCACCGTCTGGTAGTGGGGAGGTGCGCCGCCCTCCTTTCCCTTGGTCACCTTACCCATGGCCGCTACTGGTGTAGACAACACCTTCCTGGCGGAGGTTTTGTTCTCCAGGGGCGTGGCGGGCGGGGTGGCAGGCCCGCCCTTCTGACTCCCTCCACCACCACCATCCTTGGATGGGGTGGTCACCAGACGTGGGTCACAGTGGCGGCGCCGGAACAACCGCATCCTTCCTCTCTTCCTTCCTAAAGCTTCCTTCCTTCCTTCCTTCCGTCCGTCCTCTCTAGGGCTTCCTCTACACACCTGCTGGGCGCCTCACTCTGACGCGACGCAACGTCACCATGACGGCTACAAACTGTTGGGGGGAAAGAACACTTGTTACTAGGAAAGTTAATTAGTTACATGTGCAACAACTTTCTTCACCACTACAGTGAGCCACAACCCCTCCCCCTCCCTCAGGCAGCGGAGCTCCTCCACCAACACACTTATTTTGTCCCAGGTGCACCTGTACTCTTGCTCTCTCTCTTGTTTACTTTAAGAAAGTGCCACCCTAATCATAGGATGGTCAACAACAACAATAATAATAATAGCAACAATAATATCCACAACGACAAAACAAGAACTACAGCAGTAGGGTAACAACAACAACGAAACAGTTAAATACAATATTACATACCCACACCTGTCCGCCTCACCCACCCAGCGTCCTCCCACAAGGTCGACGTATAAAAACAACACACACGCTGAGGTACAGTTGTTACCCTTAACGAAGTTCCATAATAATTCCTCAAACTTTTAATCAAATCGAAAATTTTTCAATGGAGCACAACTGCCATTTGCCTCTCCCATCCACTGCCCTTCATCCCATCCCCCCATCACCCACCCCCTTCAGCATCATGTGTCTGGCAGCTGCTCCTTCCACACACACACACACATACACACACCTCTGTACCCCATACCTGAGGGCATCGTGTAAGGCGGAGTGTAGGGTTCACTTTTAGATGGGGGGGGCGTTGACCACAAACAAAGAGAGGTGTTAATGATGCACTTTACATGTCAGGTACCAAGATACAACTTCTCTGTGGGTTAAGAGTGTGTGGACGTGACTGAGTGTGCAGCAATGTGAGTGAATGTCAGCAGTGTCCCGACGTACCCACAGATGTCCCCAGGTGCCCACGGGTATCCCCAGGTGCTCACAGGTATCCCCAGGTGCCCGCCACAGGTATCCTGAGGTGTGACCGCAGGCAGTTCTCCTTACGACACTTAAGCCAGGTAATGTCTCACTTAGTGGTGACCAGAGACCAAGTTTGTCCACCCAACATAATCCCTCGCCTTTGTTTACCGGTCCAGGTAAACACTCCTTTTACCCCTTTCTCTCTCCTCCTCCTCCTCTACCTCCCTTACATTATAATCCTCCTCCTCCCCTTTCTTCTTCTCTTCCATGTCATCACCCTTCTTAGACCTGTGTTTCTCTTCCTTGTCATCATCCTTCCTCGACCTGTCTGTCTGTCTCCCCCCTTCTCTACCTTGCCACCATCCTTCCCTGTACCTTGGTAATATAGTCCTCAAATGCGAACAAAATACTAAATTCCTCGGAGTTATTGTTGATGAGAAACTTAACTGGAGAAACCACATACAAGCCATTCACAGTAAAGGCAATAAACAGTGCGGTATCATGTATCACGCTGGACATTCACTCACTCACTCTCACACCAATGAAAGAAATCTATCATGATCTTGTTTACCAACACCTGATACACTGTCACGCACTATGGGGGCCTCTGGCTCTTCGAAAACACAATCTCTGGTTGCTGCATAAAAGAGAGTTGTACGGACAATGACCTACTTGTAAAAAACAGATCACACAAACAAAAAATTTGCTCAATTGGAAATGTTAAAATTCGAAGATATTAACACCTACTGCTGTGCCCTCTTTGTTTAAAAATCTATCAATCACTTGCTTGACAATAATTATTTCCAGTTCCGGAATAATCAGAGATACAACTTAAGGCACCCAGAGTTACTAAGACCACCCCCCATGCGCTCCTCTCAGCCCCAGACCTCCATAAAATATCACGGTGTGAAGGTGTGGAACAACTTACCCCCACACATCCCAGCAAAGACTACGCTCCCTTCCTTTAAATCACCTCTTAAAAAATATCAATTGTCTAACTATTAATATTTCTTGTAACACCTACTATATTTACAGTACCTGCTTTTATTGTACCATCAAAACTGTTTTATCGGAAATTATCATGTAAATAGAAAAGTAATTACCATTGCAATAAACATAATTGCCAACTAGACATAATCCTGACAGCTCTGTCCTCTTGTTCAACCTTATTACTGTACAACCAATGTTGTACTGCTCCCCCATTATACTTACAGTATGTTTTTCAATTCCATTATAACTAATGTATAAAAATAATAATAAATAAATAAAATTAATAAATATTGAAGTGATAACCGTAGTAACATTCTGAGATGTTCTTATTACCACCAGGCTATTGTACTACTACAGATGATACTAAATGTTACATAATACTTCCTTGAGATAAATGTACAGTATATGTCAGGTGCCTACAAGAGAGCTCAGGATCTCAACTGGCTCAGCCATGTTAATATTATGAGCTTTAGTCGACTCTCTATCTGTGTTCTTCTGGCTAAATTAAATGTTTCAAATCAATTCAATTCCTAGACCCGTGTTTCTATCTTTGCATCCTCCACCACCTTTTTTCATCCCTCCGTCACCTCTATCTACATCATCTTATTTGGATCTTTCGTAAACCAAGAGAAGGACCAACACAAAGTAAATCGCCTGCAGTCAAGTTAGCAAAGAGGTCAGATGGGGTCAAGTTTGACTACGTTGGAGTGGATTGGGTTAGATTTGGTTGGACTAGATTGGCTTGACGTGGGTTGGGTTGGGTTGGATTAGATTGGTTGAGTTGGGGTGGCTTGAATTAGTGTGGATTGGGTTGAGTTAGATCGGGTTAACGTGGATTTGGTTGGGTTTAATTGGGTTGATTTGGACTGAGCTACACCGAGTTGGGTCCGGATGGGTAGGGTGTGATCGGGTCTGGTTGGATTTGATCGGGTCTAGTTGGGTTTGATCGGGTCGGGATGAGTTAGGTTTGATCGGGTCGGGATGGGTTGGGTTTGGTCGGATCAGGTCTCTCGCTATGCAGTCAGCCATCACAACGATTACAACATTTGGCACTTAACTCAGGTTGTAGAGTCATGGAGGGAGGGAGACGGCGAGGCGATGGGGAGAGAAGAGTGGGGAGTGGGATGAGGGGAGTTGAGAGAGGCAGTGGGGTGAAGGGATAGGTAGTGGGGAGGGAATGGGTAGTAGGGAGAAGGAAGAAGGGGTGGGTGTGGAGAGAGAGATGGGTGATGGGAAGGAGAAGAGAGAGAGGGACAAGGTAAGAAACGATGGATGGTGGGATGGAGAGAGACGAGAGTGAGGGAAGAGAATAGAGAGGGAGAGAGAGAGGAGGGAGGATCGGCACTGAGTGATGGAAGGATCCTATTCCACTTAGGGTATAATCCTCCTGCCCCTCCCTCCTGACGCTCTTTGTTCCATGCCAGAATCGGATCAGACAGACAGGGGCGGATCTGGGGTTGATGGAGCGGTGGGAGGGGAAGGTGGGGGGGGTGAAGGTGGGGGAAGGTGGGAGGATGGGGTGGAATGATGGCGGGGAGATGAATAGTGAGGAGATGGAGCAGTGGGGAGGGTGAAGGTGGGTGGGGTGAAGGTGGGGTGGGGGTGAAGGTGGGTGGGGGTGAAGGTGGGGAGGGGGTGAAGGTGGGGTGGGGGTGATGGAATGATGGGGTGATAGAATGGTGGGGAGAGGAGAGCTTGTGGTTGATAGGGGAGGGAGTGATGAAGTGAAGGGTGATGGGAAGGTTAGGTGATGGGATAGATGGGAGTGGGGGGGGAGGGGTGTTGATGGAAGGTAGGGGTGAATCCGTGGCGATAAGAGTGGTGAAAAGGGAAGGAATTGAAGCGATGGAAAGGTGTGGAAGGGAAGGTAGAGGGAGAGGCTTAAGAGAGGGAAGGAACCGAATAAGGGAGGAGGCAGTAAATGGAGCGAGAATGACGAAGAAATTGACAAGGAAGTGAGGGAGAGAAAAAATATAGAAAAATAAAATAAAACAGAGAAAGAAAGAAAGAGGAAAGAAGTAGCGAAGGGTGAAAGAAGTAGCGAAGGGTGAAAGAAGTAGCGAAGGGTAAAGGAAGGAGGCGGGGGCCGCAAAAAGTGATACAAAAATATGTGAAAGGTGTACAGAGAGGAAGGGGTGGAGAATAGGAGGAAGTGGAGGAAGAAAGGAGGAGGAACAGAAGGAAAGGAGGAGAAACAGAAGGAAAGGAGGAAGAGAAGGAACTGAGGAGGAAGAGGAGACACACCTACGGACCAGTGTTTACCCTCCCTCTGTGGTTATCTTGCACCATTACCACAACCATCAGCAGTACCTCCTGTCCAGCGCCCAACCCAACACCACCCCTCAGCAACTAGCATCCCTCCCAGTCCCCAGCATCCCTCCCAGTACCCAGCATCTCTCCCAGTCCCCAGCATCCCTCCCAGTACCCAGCATCCCTCCCAGTACCCAGCATCCCTCCCAGTACCCAGCATCCTCCCAGCCAGCATCCCTCCCAGTACCCAGCATCCCTCCCAGCACCCAGCATCCCTCCCAGTACCCAGCATCCTCCCAGTACCCAGCATCCCTCAGTACCCAGCCCTCCCAGCCCTCCCAGTACCCAGCATCTCCCAGTGCCAGCATCTCTCCCAGTACCCAGCATCCCTCCCAGTACCCCAGCATGTGTGCCCCGCCCTCATCCCCAGTTTAAGGCCGTGATGAAGCCATCCTCTAGTAGGCTCCTTGATCACCACACTCACTATTTCCTGCCCCCACACCAGGCCAGTGCCAGAGACCAGGGTAGTGCCAGAGACCAGGGCAGTGCCAGAGACCAGGGTAGTGCCAGAGACCAGGGTAGTGCCAGAGACCAGGCCAGTCCCAGAGACCAGGCCAGTCCCAGAGACCAGTGTAGTGCCAGAGACCAGGGCAGTACCAGAGACCAGGGTAGTACCAGAGACTTAAGGTAGTACCACCATGGCAGGACGTTGTGGCAGGGCACTGTAGGGGGACGAGGTGGTAGGTCATGGTACTGGACAGGCAGGGTACTGGCTTGACCTGCACCGGCTGCACGTCTGAAATGTATAAAACAGCCGGAGTGTCGGGCCGCCACAGTCCTCACGCCCACAAAACCCATGACCCGGAATGGTGACGGTCGTGTGGGAATGTGGCGCCTCATCCTCCACGCCCACCCGCACCATCATCCCTCCCAACCACACA